ACACAGAAATTTGGCATTCGTGTTCATTTATTTATCCTCTATTGAACCCCACACACACACACACACACACACACAACAGCAACACTGTCAAACAGAAGCCGAGAAACATCCCAGTCCATGGGATGCTTGCATTTGAATCTAGTTCTCCCTTTCCAGACCCACGTCGGCCCTGCCTGGGGGCAGACAAGCAGTGCTTTCCCTTCTCATGACTCACGTGAGGGTCACGTTTAAAAAGCACAACCCGCAAAGCGCTCAAGTTGTCCCAAACATCATCTGTCAACGCGCGAGGAAACTGGCAAGATTTCGCCCTTACTGGGACATTTAATTAGTTCGCTCAACATAAGACGTGGTGGTCGGAAGGGAGGGGGGGGGGGCAGTAGAAAACTGACCCCTGTACAACAAGACTTTGTGGTTGTGACTCTCGACCCACAACGTCACTGAAATGTGAGAGGGGACCAGGCGGAGGCCGAATCCGGAGGGGCGCCCCCTGCACTCACCCCAAGCCGCTAAGCAGTCGATCTGCAGCGGCAGTTTTTCCAGGATCATCACCGGCTCGAAGGCGTCGTGCATGACGGCGACAGCCTAGCCTCGGCCGCTTCTCCTCAGAAACGACGGGCCGTTGCCCCAGGGCCACCAAGGAAGGCCCGAGCAACAACGGTGCCAATAACCCACAGCCACAAAAGCCGAGCCTGGGCTGCTGCAACGTTTCCGGGTGGCTCTTCACTTCCGTAGCCAGGCTCCGCCTCTGAGCAAGCAACGCGCAGGCCGCTTTTTTTTTTTAAACTGCCCCGGCTGCCTGATACCTTCGGCGAGCCTGGTCTCCCCGTTGGAGGACCAAAGCCTGCTGCTGCGGTTCCAGCCGCAGAGGTTACGTTTTTGAGTATTTTTCGGTGGAGGCCGTCTGGGGGGGGGGGGGGGGAAAGCAGGTGTTGAGGAGAAGGGGGGGGAGGGAGAGTGTCGAGGGACTGAAGGAATCTGCAGCAAAAGGCAACTCCAAAGCGCGGAAGCGCACACCGTAGGATGGATGGTGTGTGCTCCTGTGTGATCTGAATAGGCTTCCTCTCCAAGAAACCTTTTCAACGTTTAAGCCCGTTGCAATTCCGCCCTGCGTTATTGTCGTTTGTGTGTTTGTGGTAGATGTAGCGTCGTGTCCGTACAATTCATGCCTGCAACTATATTACAAGGAATCCTTGGTAAATCCTCCGCGAATGTGGATGAATCATAAAGAAACATATTTGTTCATGCTGTTCCTTTTCCCGGGTATATGTAGCTTCTTCATTCAGCTACAGAACGATTTCACTGGAGTTCTTTGATTTTTTTTTCAACGCAATAATCCTACATCCTGTATTCCACTTCCCTAGCTAAATTTACCTGGCATAACGCCTTAATTCTTTTGTTTAGCATCATTTTACTATCCTCATTTTATGTGCATGCTTGCAGGTAGGGAACATTTTTTAAAAAATTGTTCCTTTTTCTTTTTCTTTGACTTATATGCCATCCATCTTGCCTAATAAAACCTAGATTGCTGGCCTTTTTGTTCTGAATTTAAAAAGTAAAAGTAAAAACAAATTAAGGGGCTGATCTCTAAAAAAAAAGGCAGTGTTTGGATTTTAAATTTATGTAATTACATATGTAATTATGCAAGTTATCAGGTGTCCCAGGTTAACTTCTTTTAACTTTACATCTCTCACACTTTGTTCAATAATTTACATTTATTTTATTATTTTTTAATGTTGTGTTTTTATGTCCTTGTAAGCCACCTTGAGTTACCATGTGCAAGTAGGCGGCAATATAAATTTTCTAAATAAATAAATTCATAATGAACTTAAGGTCCTTATTCTTATATTCAGTATATACCTTCCTAATGTACCAGTACATCAAATCTGAAATCACCTAATACTTTAAAAGTATTATGTAACCCTATAGACATATATATAACCCTAAGACAACAGTGTTACTTTGCCTTTGTCTCAGGTATATTTCAAACTCTAAATGGTTACTGGTGGCATTCAGGAATAACAAAAACCTAAAATTATTAAGGATGAGCAATGTGTGATCTCTTGCCCTCAGTCTTTTGACTCATCCAAACAGTGACAGATAGATAGACAGACAGGCAGATATTGAATACAGCTTATCCTCCTGAAACCCATTCTATTAACACGATTGAGCAGGTTCAAAGGTATTTCTTGAGAAGAGTACTCCACTCCTCTATTCACAATAGCATTCCCTATGCCTCCATATTTGAAATTTTGGGCTTGGACAATCTGGAACTGCACTGCCTGCAGTCTGATCTAAGCATAGTTCACAAAATTGTCTGCTATAACATCTTGCCTGTCAATGACTTCTTTAGCTTCAATCATAATAATACATGGGCAAACAACCGATACAAACTCAAGGTAAACCGCTCCAAACTTGATTGCAGAAAGTATATTTTCAGCAACAGAGTGGTCAATGCCTGGTACACCGTACCCGTGTCTGTTGTTACAGCCTCAACCTCTCAGAGCTTCAACCTCAAACTGTCTACCATGGACCTCACCCCATTCTTTTTTTTTTTTTTGTAAATTTTATTTGAGTTTTCACAAAGAGAAAAAAAAATACAAATAAAACATCTTTTTTGAAAGTAGCGTAATCCCGGGTTACATTTCTTCGTACAGATACAAATTCAAGTTCATGCTCATTTTTATATTCTATATCTTATTACTATTTTACATTTTCTGCATAGCTTCTCCCTTCTTTTAATTTACTCAATTTTATTTTAATTATCTCATCTCAATTCAAATCATTGTATTTATATTTTTGGTCTGTCCTTTTTCAATTATCTATTATCTTTTCTCATTAAACAAAATTTCTCCTGTAGTTACTAATTGGAGTATGACGCCTTTATATCTTTTCCCTAAAGTTGTAACATTCAATATAATACATAACTTCCATTCAGATTCTGCTTGGTACATTCTTAAAATACACACTGTATTCTTAAAAAAAGAAAAAAATATAAATGTATAATATAATTAAAACAACATTCCATTCCAATTCAATTCTATCATTAATATTAATATTCATTAAAGTCTTAACATCTTTAACATTACTTTTCAATTAAATATCATACTTCTATGGGAACAATTATAAGCTTTCCATAGTTAATTCCCCCCCCTTCACTTATATTTTATAAAACATTAACTAACTAAAATGTTCCCATTCCTTCCTAATTCAATTTTCTCATTTATTTTATTTCACTTATTTTATTCACAAACATTTCACTAAATTACACTAACTATTTTATCCCTCATTTTAATCATACGTTGTTTCCAATTTTCTAAAGTTATTTCTATTACTAATATAACAATACAATCTTATGTACCTTTACAGAATCCCTTTTTCAGTTAGATTTTCACCCATTATCTTTAAATAGGTCCCGTTTCTCTATATCTTGCTCCAGTCCTTTGTAACTTCTTTTCCTTTCCTTCTTCCCTCTCTTCTTCTCTCCCCGTTTTACCCCCATGTCTCTCTACCTCTATTTCTCTTCTGTATTCCCCTTTTCTGTTGCTTTCCAGTATTATACTTATTTTTTGAATTATTTTTCTTTTCTTTGGTTGTTTTTTTAAGTCTTAAATTCTCCATTCTCTTGCCCCCCTTTCCTTTTTCTTCCCCATATAAAATTACTTGTTCATTAAAGATGGCTTCTTCTTTGTCCCAGCCTTCTTGTTTTGCAGTCTTTTCTTGTTGCTTCTCATAGTTCCAAATCTCCATTTCTAAGAATTGAAAAATGAAGTCAAAAGAACCCTTCCCTTCTTGTGCATCTTCTTTGTACTTTTTAAGTCCCATTTTCAATTCATCCAGAAGTGGTGCCATTGTATAAATTTTTAAACAACCACCTGATTGATTTTAGTCATTCAAATATAATAACCAAGAATCCAAAGATCACCAAATAATCCAAATACACGCAAGCTGTTTCTTTTTTGCTCTTTTTTTCACTTTCTCTTCCTGGGGTTACTATTTAGTTGCAAAGTTTCAGTTAAAATGTATCTTTTAGAAGTCATGTTGAAGTTTTACTGTAGATTCTTTTTAATTCCAGGCAGTCTCCTCCCTCTTCCAGATCCTGCCCTTATTCTTTTTCTCTCCCTTCCTGCTTATGAAAAAGAAAAATTTTAATGTCCAGAAATCTTTATTATCCCTTTGGCATTTTGTTTTATTTTCAGCTTAATTGCCTATTGATGTCAAAGTGGATTTTTCCAATTATTTAAGTCTCTTAGTTGTCAGTATAGGGAAAGAGAGAGAAGGGAAAAAAAGCCAAACCTTTCCCTTTTCACTTTCCTTTGCTGTTTCCGACTCTTCTTTGGGAGTGATGTTATTTTTTGTAAGTTTAAATTCCAGGGTACCTTAGTTGTTGCTTTTATAATTTAACCCGGTCAGCCAAAACTTTCACTTCTTATCTTCCTCCTGCACATTCTTTTCTGGTCGAGTTGTCCTTTGTGGTGGCCGTTTCTGACCACCACTGCAACCACCTTTGGGAAAGGGAGTAATGGCCAGCTGAGGAAGAGAGATGCGTCTCTCCTCAACCCTGCTGGCAGTCTGCTCCCTCTTCACCACCTCTGTGGGGTAGCTTAGCCCTGAAACCAGCTAGCTCGGGGCGCTCCAGCGGCAAGCCCAGACAGAAACCACGCACGATTATGGATTTCTGTCTGTCGCCGAAGCCCTTCAAACCGGAAGTCCGACCTCACCCCATTCTTAAGAGATCCTTAAAGGGGGCGTACATAAGTGCACCAGCGTGCCTACCGTCCCTGTCTTACTGTCCCCATTTATCTGTGTTTACTTCCTTTGTTCATTTTTAGGTTCATACCTAAACTTGTTATCTTGTACATGTTCGACAAATAAATAAAAAATAAAAGATTGCAGAAGCTGCCACTGTATCTGAACCCATGGTCTGTTCCTGACATTTTGCCATTAAAAAAAGACATTTCAAATAAAATATATCAGAAAAATACACTTAGCTCATTTTAGTATTTAAAGGCAAAAATAATTTTATTATACAGAACATAAATCTGCTGAATCAAATGAAAAAGTTCCTGTAAGACAGAGGACACCCTATTTATCAAACCACTTATATACATTGTAAGTACAACAAAACACATTCGGGAAGCAGAATTAAGCCAGTAGTAAATTCCATGTGAAAACCCAATTCCAGTTTTTCCAGAAGAAATGACTATATCAAATATCTGTAGGACTCGTGTTTTGGCACTAAACTTAGAAAAACACAATTTAAAGGTTAAAAAAAAATACCTTATTTTGCACTTCACTAGGCAATTGGAAAGAAAGGTCCAATACACATACTTGCATAAATTATTCCAGAAGAGTATTTGTCATTAGGTTAACCTGAATCTGTTTCTGTTGCAACACTTGTTTATCCATCCAGTAACAGGGTCAGGTTTCTTGATAGCCTCTTTTTTTAAAAAAACCTCTCAAGTATTTCAGTATCTAAATATAATTATACAACTGTTAAAAATGTCTCTTGGTGTAGATAATAGTTGGAAGGGAGGTAGGATGTACAAGAACTGTGAAGGTAATGAAGCTACTGATACCATACTGTAACAAGATCCTTCTGGCCTTTGGTTAAAGTGACTTGAGGACTGAGCTGCCACATTATAGTCTGCATTTTTCTTGTGCATCACAGCCAGCTCCAGATCTGAAGAAACAGCTCAGAAAAATCTCTTCTTCTGTAAGCTTTGGCTATGGTTTTATCTAGAAGCAGTGAACAGGTGGCTGTAAGTCGCTATTTTAAATATCTCATTGGCCTTAGAAGACTGGTACTTCAGGAGTATTAAAAAGCTGGTGTATTGGGGTGGGATTTCAGCCCCACTACACCAGCAGAAGCACTGGAAGCAATGAGGAATGCCACTTAAGAACTGCAAAACAGAATATTTCCCATTTATAACTACTTTCTACAAAGTTCTCACCCAAGCAAATTGAGCATAGGTTAAACAAATAAATGTAACAATTTAAAGTCAAAATAGCCCAACTGGAATTTGCCACTTACAAGTAATTTCAAATCAAAAAGGCTTTTGACAAGTTATAGTACCACAATTCATGGCTGATAGGTTCTGTTTGACCTTATGAATCTGTGGCTCAAATCTTTTTGGGCTCAATAAACCTAGCATAAATAATTTTAACATGGAAATATAGTTGGTAAGTGCTATGATGTTCAATGGTGTTTTCATTCAATTATTGTTCCAATTCAAATGGTTAACTGCTCATGCTCAGATCTCATTGCCAGCAATGAGATAGCAATAAACCTGGGATTAAGTAATAATTGCTTTTAAAAACATTAAATTTAAAATATTTTTCTATGCTGTGGAATGAAAAAAGTGCATTTAATTTTGCTAAAAAATATTAAGCATCATAATTTCTCCCAAATATTTCTATTGGAGTTTTCCATAAGCAAAAGTTCTCCTTGAAAAACTCTCTTGGTTTTCCTAGCCGGACAGCAGAATCTTCAGACAATAAATAGCTACTGCTTCTAAGAGAAAAGGCACTGATCCTGATTCACAGATTTCTCACACGATGGTGTTGCATACATGTTTTTGTATGCAAAGCACTTTTACAGATGGGATGATGTTTCTGTCAGCTATGACAGTGTCAAGTCCTCCAGGAAAAGTGGATGGATATAGGAATCGACCCCCCATTTACAGTCTCAAGTAATGGATACTGGAGGTAAGTGCAACATCTTACTGAATACGCCATGCTGGAAATTATCTACAAGCAGAGGTCACTTTTTGCTTGTTTGAAGAAACTTCTGCACATGGTTCATCCTTACTGGCTCAAAGAAACTTTTTATTTTCTCCCAACCCCTTATAGTTAAATCATGGGATTTAGATCTAGTATTGAATTAAAAGTTGCTCTGCCAATTGTTAAATTGTTTTAACTTAAATACTTTAAAAGAATTTGTTGCAATGAAATACATTTCCATAGTTTAAATAACACACTGGCAGCAAACAGTGCAAATGCAAATCTTTTCATGACCGAAATTCCCTCCATGCTGACCTCTCAAAAAAATTCCCTCTGATAATAATCAGTGGTTCCAAAATTCATGGAACGTATCAGAGAAAGCAGCACTGGAACATTGCCAGATAGACAAGGTTTCTTCCTTTCTCAAGCAGTAAGACAACTTCTGCTGCAAGTTGTTTCATCTTTCATTCCATTTTGGATCTTTCAAAGTGTGTGATCATTCTTTCCTGCAAGATTTAACAAATAGAACCCAATAAATATAACAATTTACTTTCCCTGAAAAAATTACTTGAAGATGATTGTGAAAAAGCCAATATTAATCTAATTGTTGGTGCTGCTATCATAAAGTTGTCAAATAACAAATTCAACTTCAGGATAAAGTGAGCACAATACATTTATCAGATACAAAACATACATTTTGTTTGCATGTGCTTTTCAAAGTGCAAGTTAAGGTTAGCATGTTATAAACACTGACCTAAAGCTTTTAAAGGCCTAGAAAACTGTTGATCTAAGCCCGGTAGTTTGTTCAAAAGAAATACTGCACGAAAACAGGTAAAAGTCACCCTTTGGCACTGTCTAATAAAAAGACAATAGCAATAACTCTATATTTTGAGATCATGGGAAATATGATTTGGATTATCCTTCAGAATGCTTATTTCCTGTATGATAGCCTCATCGCATTTTCCAAACAGCATTCAAAAAATTCTCAATCAAATTCACATTAAAATTAGTCTTAATGCTATACTGTATTCTGCATCCTCTCCATAAAACATTAGGTTTATTTAAAGAGTTAATAATGCAAGCAAGGCTTCCCTTGCCAGCAATTCCAGGTTGGAAAATTCATATTTACCATTCTAGAAGCTGGTATTAGACATTTCAAATAAAATATCGTTCTCAGCTTGATGTTTTTTGCCAAAGGCCGACATGGAGTCTTAATATATTTTAGACTTATTCCAGTTTAGGTTTAATTCTCTCCCCACCCCAAAATTAAAATTTGTTGTAAAAAAAATACAACAAATGGTGGGGATAAAAAAATACAACACATGGTGAGGATAAAAGGGTAATTGCAGGAAAGGGTTAAAGAATGCCATTCATAAATTTTCTGCATAAGCATCTCAGTGCAGATTGTTTTTAAAAAAAGGTATCTCTTATGAAATCTTTGACTAAAGTATTAAACAAAGTTTCCTTTTGACATTTAGTAGTTCCCCGATACACTAACTGAAACAGTTGAAGCATTCATTTTTTTAATTGCTGGAATCATTTCTCTAATTCTTAGCTTGTGACTCTTCTGTCACATCATAGGACCTGAATTATTGCTTAAGGGTTAGTTACTGACCTCATCTGAATCCAGTAATGCTGGCAGAGCCCTGCAATTGAGAGAGAAAGAAAAACATAGTAAAACAAAGAGAGACTAATGATTGCTGTGGTGCTAGTATGAGGTATGCATTCACCAAAATATGCTGGCGATTCAGAACGCAAAAAAAGAAAAACCGCATTATCAGACAAAACGTTGTATTTTTCTTTCATTGAACATTAAATAAAATTAGCATTTGTCCACATCAGCCATGTTAAAACAAGGATTTATATTTTTTTCAGAAATGGGGCTATAACTACTTGATAGCACATGGATGGAACAAAAAATAGGTAAGCCCAGAAAGATAATTGTATTTAATTTAATTTAAAATGAAATTTATCAAAATGTAATAAATATGACGGTTCTTCATGTATTTATTCACTTTCTCTTCTTTCACCAATTTTGTAAGTAACTCTTAGGGCTGCACCCAAAACTTTGGGGAGACACACATGGCCTTTAAACCGCAGATTTAATACTTTTTACTTCCTAGTTATGGAACATTCTGAAGTAACATTATAAAAATCGGCTGCAGAGTGGCCTATATTTTTTTTTCCAAAAAAAAAAAATTGGGATGGGAGTAGGAGGATTCTAGGAAATAAAGGTGCTTCCATTACCACCGTATCTCCTCACTCCTAAGGTTCAGGAGCTTAATGGTAGAAATGATAAGCTTTCTATTCCCATTTCCATCTTTAACCTACTTCAAATCTTCACAATAATTAAAAGGACTGCCCCATTTCAACCCATTTGGGGGGGGGGGTGATATCATCATAACACTGTAAAATGTGGGGCAGAAGAACCCTGGTGGCACAATGGTTAGAATGCAGTATTGCAAGCTAACTCTGCCCATAGCCAGGAGTTTGATCCTGACTGGCTTAATCTTAAGCTTTCCATCCTTCCGAGGTCACTACAATGAGGACCCAGATTGTTGGGGGAAATATGCTGACTCTGTAAAACACTTAGAAAGGGCTGTAAAGCACTATGAAGTAGTGTATGTCTAAGTGCTACTGCTATTTAGCAGCCAACCTAGTAGATATTATTTAGTCTAACTAAGGCCATTGGGATTCCAACAAGTAGATATTATTTAGTCTAATTAAGGCCATTGGGATTCCAATAACCTTCCCAAAGATTGTTTCATCAAGTAAAAACAAGAACAAGAATACATTTACAATTTATATTAGAAACTGATAACTGGAAGCCTAAAAGGCAGAATCCAGAAGTTACACCTATTCTGGATATTGCAAATGGCAGGCAACATCCTCTTTACTTTCAAAATAACTAGCTTAGTGCTTTTAAATGTATATTTTATGTATAACTTATATTATAGATACTTACACATCAGTCACAGAAGAAGGAACATTTTCTTCCACCCATTTCAAATCATCTTCTTGCTATAGTTTTTAAAAGTCAGGTGATTATTGGATTATTGTCCACTTAAAATTATAGTACATTTTTGTGATGATTACATTCAATCTACAGTATAAAGCAAAAAAGTATCTTCCCCATATTTTTCCAATAGAATATCTCATTAACTATATCTGACATTTTTTTCACCTCTTCCTATTTTAGAGAGGCCCATAAACATTTTACTACAGTACTTTATATATAACACACACACACACACACACACCTTGCTTAACGCCCATTCATTCAGTCACAATTCAAAGTTATAACGGCACTGAACAAGAGGGACCTACAAAAGGTCCCCATAGTTGCAGCTGTTGCAGTGTCCACGCAGTCATATGATCAGGATCTGGGGATTTGGCAACCAGCTTGAAATTACGATGTCATAAGAATCCCGCGGTCACATGTTCATCATTTGCAATGCTCATTGTTCAGCTTCAAACAAGCAAAGTCAATAGGGAAGTCTGCAAGAGGTTGCAAATGGCAATCATGTAATTGCAGGATGCTGCAATCACGTGGGATTCACCTAACAGCAGCACCTAAAGTTGCTGCTACTGGTATTAAGTTAACATGGTCACTTGATGTACTTTAAAGTTAACATGGTCACATGATGTGCTTTACTTAATAATAGAATTGCTGGCAATAGTTACAATTGTTAAGTGAGGACTACCTGTATAGTATCTAAAGTGCTTTAATTTATTATTATCCATTGGACAAATTCCATTAAATAATCTCTTTAATTATTAAAATAATTAGTAATTTGGAAATTACAGTTTATTCACATAATGGTAATTTTTTTCATCTCACACACACTATGGAAGAAAGATATTTTGTAACAATTATCATAACATATTTTTGCTATAAGAGACTTAAAATATGTATTTACAAAAGGCATGAAGTTAAGTACAAATTAAAAAAGACTTATCTTTGCTGTTGCATCTCCCTTTTTTAGCATATCTTAGTTTAATCCCAACAACTGACATCACTTATAATTGCTGCCGTTTATTGGAAATAATATTTCACTAATGAGTACCTTAGCACTTTATTTTTATATCTTCCATTTTTCTAGCATTAGTTAAAAAAATATTAGCAAAGGACTTACTGCTTTGTTGGTTTTAGGATTTCCATTTGATTCTTGTTTTGAAGTTCTCATTTTCATGCCCTCTGTATAAAATATTGGGGGAGGAATCTTATTCAAGAGTGCAACATTTCGTTAGGTATGTAAAATATAATATACAATAGTTATCAGTGTTTAATACTGTATATTTCCCACACTCAGAACAGGTTTAAAAACTCTACTGTTTTATGGAAAAGTGGAATGGACTTCTGTGGAGGCAATTCTTGGGAAAAATAACACAGGGAAAATGATTTGATCTCATAGGTCTGGTTTTCAATTCTGTTTATTTCTGATGCTATGATAAATCAGTAAGAGAGATCTTACTGAGAGACAAAAGTGTATCTAAACTGCACAAAACTGGAGTAACCCACTGGAGCTACTTTAGGAAAAGAGATTCAGTATCTATGTCTGCCAAACACAGAACAAACAGGTCTGTGTGGAGATGTGAGAAAAAGTGAGAAATCTGGTTTGACCTGTTCTGTTCCATTCTACAGTATATCCAAATGCTCTCATGATATATTATAAGGATATATTTCTTGCATACTGAACAGTAAGATCAACTTTAGAAGTTTATTGTTCCCTGATTCATATGACATGGTAAATCATAATGTGATATTTTTATCTTAACTTAGTATGTGCAGATACACCCAATGGCATATTATGCAGTCATTAAACCACAGTTCAATATAATATGAGAACCAAGTCTGCCTTGTTTATTTCATAAATGTCTGACTCAAATGTAACTATGTTTTCAGCTGCTGTTTTAATTTCAGTGCCAATGCAGAGGTTAGAGAAACCATCCCATGAAATAAAATTATGTCTCTTAGAAACAAAATGCAAGAAAATTGCTTGTAATTGCCTTGTGCCACAAAAGACTGCAACTAAGATATGTAATTAAAACTTAAACTGGGGTAAAGAGATACCAGTGATAATACATAGTACTACAGATACGCCCTTTTAGAATAAAAGTTGCATTCATAAAACAGAGATGTTTTTCTTACCAAAGCTCTCTTTCAGCATTGGCTCTTTCTGTTCATCGTCTTCATCTTCTTCAGACAATGGTGAAAAAGCAAACCTTTTAGAAAGCAAAATTACAAATAATGGCTTCAGCAGGTTAATATAAAATATTTTTAGTTTCTTTAAACTTGTGATATATTTAAGATTGCTTGTAGCATCTAAAGCTGAAAGGGAAAGTACTGCACAGCAACAATAAACAGATGCCTTAGACCAAGGGTATCAAAGTCAGGTCATCCCATGACATATCATGACTTTCCCCCCACTGCTAAACCAAATGTGGGCAAGGCCAGCTCATGATGCATCTGGCCCATGGGCCACGAGTGTGATACCCCTGCCATATCTAATATTTGTAGTACGAAGTATATGTACTATAAAGTGAAGTATACTATAAAGTATAGTATAAAGTATAGTACCGCTGGTTGTTGGCAGATGGCCTCCAAAGAATCATGATGACAAAAAGAATCATTGAGAATAACAGCCGCCAGATGGCATCATCAACCCATAGCTCTTGCCAATCCTGTTAATTGATGTAAGATAGTAAATATAAAAAGTTATATTTTTGAAAAAATAAAAATCCCAACATTTTCAACAAGGCAAAATCAAAGTTAAGTTTGACTTCTAGTGATTTTATGCTCATGTCTCATGTTAGTTTCCTTAGCAACAATAAAGAAGTATCTTTGTTTGCCATTGACTTCTCCCATGATATATTATAACCTTCCCAGATCTTTATATTCTCTTTCATCCACCCGGGTCTGAGCCAGCTTAGTCTTCAAGTTAAGACAAGGTTATCAAATTCCTAGCTATCTACTTAACTAGCAAAACTGACAAAAAAGAGACAGACTCACCGATTTACAGTCCATCAATCTGAATTTCAAAGTTGTCCAGATGATAAAAACAATAGATGCTAAAATATGTTTTTAAAATAAAAATATCGCAAAATATTAACAAATCAGATTAAACTCAATGATTTTTTAATGTAATTATTTTTATAATCTATAACCAATTCATACTATTATGCTTGTGGTCATCTGCCTGATTCCTTTGAAATTGCTCTTTATTCATTGAAAATAAAAATGATGAAGAATGAACAGTTTTACCAAAAATATTTAACCTTAACTTTCTATTCAGTTCAATAAACCTAAGGAGATAACAAAGATCCCAAAAATATTTACTTCTGCATCCTAGAATTATAATAAGAAATAAGAATTTTTTGTTGAAATAGATTGGCAAGTATCTATAAGTCATAGGAACACAATATTTAATCTCCCTTCTGGCAAAAAATTTATTTCCTTTGATCTCCTTCCTTTATCTACCATGATTATTTATTTACAAAATAAATGTAGACATGTGTCTTGAGCACCAAATGCCAAGTACCTTATGTTATCTGGTTTAACAATGTTTATTTTAAAATTAGAAATAATTTCTATCATTTACCTGCTATTGCCAAGATGAGTGTATTGGTGAAGTGCCGGTAAAGAGAAAGCTTCACAACATTCCTCCTAAGCTTCAGCAGTTTCATTGTTTGAGTTAAACTGATAAATATGTATAGAAAGTCAAGGGAAAATTCAGTATATACACATTAATGACATAATTGTGTTCTATAGCTTCTCTTCAGATCTTAACTGGCATTGCCAATTAAGCAATTATTATTACCCAATTAATCATGGAGAAATAATATATATGATAATATATATAATAACCAACTCACACAAATCTGAATCATATTCTAACTATTTTACTATTAAACCCTGTCTCACTTATTAATTGCCGCTTTGAATCTCTGACACAAATGTTATTAAAGATACTTAGATCTGGTGTTGCTCCAAAGGCTATTAAAAATAATAAATAATCCTGTTTGCATGAAATATGAACTAATAGAACAGAGATTAGTCATGTAGCAGCCTATTTCCAAACTTTATGGTACCTGTATAAAGTATTGTCCTTATGAACATAACTTTCAGCAATTTTACAGGAAATATGCTAAGATGAGTTCCATCCCTGGCATAAATGACAAGTACTGTACGTGCAAACTCTGGGGAGGATTACTAAAATGAGCACAGCATATCCCTTGTTGCCAATACAATGTAAATTGCCTTACAGTGGATGGGTTCATACTTCATTCTAAACCATGGTTGGCTTAAACATAATCAGTAGAATTTGATGGGTTTGCATAACATACAAAGCCCCAAATCAAATAAGTTGAATCAAATTATTGAATGTGGAATCAAATTATTGAATCTGACCATATCCCATCTAGCCTAATACTACTTGTGCTGAATAACAAACAGCAACTTTCCAGTATTTTAGACAGGAGACTTTCCAGTCCAAGTTTGAAAATCCTCCAGTTGTCTTTCCCAACTGAGTGATTGTACAACCTCAGATTTCAGAATTCCCAATTACCACAACTACTGAAATCCGCACATCTGGTGGGTATCTAAATTAGGCTTGGATACACTCTGTAGAAATTCAGATTACAGTTATATACCTTACTACTGCAACAAGAGTACTTCCAAAAATGATTAACTACAAGGTAGTCCTCAACTTACAACAGTTCATTTAGTGACTGTTGAAAATTACAGCAGCACTGAAAAAAGTGATGTGACCATTTTTCACATGTGTGACCATTGCAGCATCCCCAAGGTGACATGATTTACATTTGGATACTTGATAACTGGTTCATCTTTATGACAGCTGCAGTGTCCCCGGTCACATGATCATCTTTTGTGACCTTCTGGCAAGCAAAGTTAATGGGAAAGCCAGATTCACTTAACAACCACATAACTAATTTAACAGCTTGTGATTCACAACAACTGTGGCAAGCAAAGTCATAAAATGGGGCAAAACTCACTTAACAAATTTCTCTCTCAGCAACATAAATTTTGGGCTCAATTGTGGTCGTAGATCGAGGGCTATCTGACCGCATGGGATTGTGTAAATTATTCTGCAAAAGGTTTAGCTTTCACTAGCCTCTTTGGTCACCAGATTTGAAGTGAAACGATGACCATTTTGACCTAAAAAGTCCACTAAGCTCAATGAGGTTTGTTCAGTACTATAGCTTTCCCCAACCTGCTGCCTTCCAGATATATTGAGATTCAACGCTTATCATGCTGAGTGAAGGATCAGAATGAACACATTTGGAATTCACTTTCAAATTCACTAACTGAAACGCACTCGTAAAGGTAGGTAGGAGCAAAATCGTGGGATATATTTGAGGAATTAATCCAATAATGACAAGATCAGGCAGAATATCTAAAGTAGAATGCCACCCACCATGCAAATAAATTAGCTCCAAATAAATTAGCAACCCACCCAGTAAACCAGTGAAGAAGGATATCCACCAACAGAGGGCAGTATCTAGGAAAGCCAGTGGAATAAAAGCCAAGGAAGCAAGATCATTCTGTGCCTAGAGAGACAAAGAGAAAAAGGCATTGAGATCAAGAGTCAGGAAACATGATTACAAAGATTAAGATTTGAGAAGAGATTGCACCCGAAAGCATAGACTTGTTACCTTACTATCTGCTGAACACATTTTTCTTGCTGTATTCCCAAAGAATAGGTCGCTATTACATTACTCTAATATAAAACGCTATCTAGACACAGTCACTCTCTTTATATATGTATATGTGTGTTATGTGCATATACAGAGATCTCATATACATATGTGTATTTCACATGTTTTTATTTTATTGGATTTTATTTTTTCCTTTGAAGGGTACTTGTCAGTCATAGGATTTCAGTTCAACTACAGGTAGTCCTCAACTTAAACAGTTCCTTTAATGGCCGTTCAAAGTTACAACATCACTGAAAAAAGTGACTTATGACCGTTTTTCTCACTTACAGCCATGGCAGCATCTCCATGCTTATGTAATCAAAATGCTTGGCAACTGACTCATATTTATGATGGTTGCAGTGTCCTGAGATGATATGATCACCTTTTGTGACCTTCTGATGAGCAAAGTCGATGGAGAAGCCAGATTCACTTAACAACGGTGTTATTAACTTAACAGCTGCAGTGATTCACTTAACAACTGTGTAAGAAAAGTCATAAAATGGGAAAAAGTTCACTTAACCACTGTCTCACTTAGCAACATAAATGTTTGGCTCAATTGTGGTCATAAGCCAAGGGCTACCTGTATAGAAGACCCATAACTAAAAGCAACTGCAATAATTAATAATGAATGAACAAATAGGAGAAATATGCTGAGAACCCCAAAACATCACTGCTGCAACCTGACCTCCCCAAGCAGAAGGCAACATTGCTAGCTCCATTTTCTGCAGACTGGAATTACACTTCTCAGTAATAAGCACAACTTTCATTCTCTATCAATGTGAAGGAGAGCTGATAGGAAAGAATGTCCTAGAGCAGTATTTCTACAAAGTGACCCGAAGCACATTACAAAGCTTCCTATTAAACTGTGTGGCTAAGGGTCACCTCTAAAAAAGCAAATATATGTTTTATAAGTTTCATAACCACAGAGGAGTTGACCAAGGCAGAAGCTTCAGAAATGTTCAGAAGGATTATCTTAGTTCTAAAGCTGCAGAGTCACTAGGTTTCCATTACAAAATAAGAAATGATCTCTGCTGGAACAGATAGCAATAGCAATAGCACTTAGACTTATATACCGCTTTACAGTGCTTTACAGCCCTTTCTAAGCGGTTTAGAGAGTCAACATGTTGCCCCCAACAATTTGAGTCCTCATTTTACCCACCTCAGAAGGACAGAAGGCTGAGTCAATCTTGAGCCTGGTGAGATTTGAACTGCCAAATTGCAGTCAATCGGCAGTCAGCAGAAGTAGCCTGCAGTACTGCACTCTAACCACTGTGCCACCATGGCTTATATATGCTAAATGAGCCACCAATATGCTCTCTAAACACTTTCCTGCTTTAATCATTGGCTTGTAGGGAACAAACAGGCTGCTAGAAGTGAGCATCTAAAATATTTTTTAGTACAGCCAAAGCAACATATGTACTTCTTGCCTGAGTTGAAACTGAGCACAATATTTCCTGTGATCTACAAAAGGTTGAATTAACCTTGGGTGAAAGGGGGGGACAGAGTCATGTTAAGACATGTACCCATCTTCCTACACCAACAAAGAACCTACTGCTTTCTGTTGATGTCACTTGCCAGAGCTAAGGAAAGGATGGCAGGTATGAGGACCTTGGACTACAGATGATGACAACAGGATGTAGGTCCAAAATGTGAGGACCCTGAGGTCATCTGGTAAAGGTGTTTTCAAATCTCCACTCTCTTTCACCCAGTGGACTTCACTGGTTTGTAGATGCTCTCAGCCACCAACATTTTGGAAGGCCTGCCTAATTAAAGGCCTAATAATAAAATTCTGCAAGCAACAGCCTCTGGTTAGAATTATCTACCTTTTTCTAGGATAGCCCTAGATTTGGGGGTGGGGGGGTGGGAGAAACAGAGAAACTGACAGCAAGAAGTTAAAAAAAAGTAGGAGAGTGGAGTGGATTTGTCTATTTTGGTTCTCCTGCCAACATATATCTCCTGACAGTTTATTGCCAAGGTAACAGAACCTTGTTATTCAAATATCCCTCTTTTCCAGTTGCATTGCAATTTGTCACCTTAATATGTGCTCCAAAAGATTAAATAGATTACGTTTTAGACAAAACTGACATTTTTGAAGCAGGTTTTTGCATGCTTGGTACGCTTTTGCACAGCCCTGTCCCACAAAATGTTCCCTCCAAACCATTCTCACTTCCAGATTTAGCAATCAAGAAGAAAAATATAAGTAGAATGTAGAGACTTTCTATCCAAATTTTGTTCTTATTGGCAAAAATCAAACTCTACTGTCACTACCCTCTTTGCAAATGATTGCAACACAGCTCATTTATTGTGAAATCAGTCCTAACAATCTATCAAAATATTGTTGGATTTTCATTTGTAACCATGTTATGCTTAAAATATTTCTATTTAATTTTTCTAACGTACTACCAGAAATTTGCAATAATCATTCAGCATCAAACAGAATTATAAATGGGTGATTTCACTGTAACTGGAACTATATGGGTTTTTTTGCTTTAGATGTGTATGTTTGTTTTTAGTCTTACTGAAGCATTATAAATGTGTTGCTTCCAATATTAAATTAAGCTGCTAATATCAGTTGCATTGTACCTTGCCCTAAACTATTAAGATACTGGATGTTAAATATTTGAACTGCCAAAAAGTATACTGTATAAAATCATCCAAATTTATACTTACATGTTTAAAAATAGCATTAATTGGCATGTCACATGATTTGCTATTTGCTCATGGACCAAGACTTTAACTTGCACTCCATCAATATACTAAAGATTGCTCTACTGTTTCAGAGCAAATTTGGAAGGTATGCAGAAAGATAAAGAAAGGTGATTTTTTTTCTCTCATGAAGATACTGGCTCATCAGCACATTAATACTATTGGACCAAACCGCTAACTTAAATTACTTACTCCTATACACAATTTGCTCTTTCCATTAATCTACTATCAAATTTTTCTACCAACATACCAAAACAAAGCAAGGGAGCAAAAATAAATAAGTTGCAATGCTACAGACATGTGAATAATAATAATGTTATAGATAGATGAATAATAAGTTATTTGAGCATATTATTGAATAGATGCATAAAACTGAGCTGTTTTAAAAGGACATCAATTATAAAGACCATACAATCCACTATAAACTAAGCAGTTACAGCAAGCATTGTTGAAGGAAAAGCAAAATAGTCTCAAATTGTATTGAAATCAATTGAACTGCAGTGTACAATTGAGAATGGGACTTAAACTCTGGTGATGTCTATGGAGATTCTCAGGCTATGGTTGTCCCGAGGGTGCTTTTTCAAATGGAAGGATTTATATTCCTTGCAGTCATCTGGTCATTAGCACTCTTTCTGAGAGTCTTTGAAGCCACTTGGGGGTTTATTTGTACCCTGAGGGTCACCTGAATAGTGCAAGTGGCCTCAATGACTCTCAGAAAGAGTGCTAATGACCAGATGACTGCGAAGAATATAAATCCTTCCATTTTCCACCATTCACTCAGAACTGAAGAAGTTCCTTAGATGTGAAGTGAAAAGTCTTCAAGCAAAAACAAAGTCCATTTTCCTTTTGAAAAAGCACCTTGAAGATACTCTGGTGATATTCAGATTTGTGAGATGGGTCCTCTTTTTATTGCTCACATTATTAGCAAGTCATGCCCCAAATTAAGGGATTACAGGGTCATAAAAAGGGAGTTTTTATAAGGTTGATTTTCTAAAGCTGAATCCTAAAAAGAGGGAGAGGATGATCTTTAGATAATTTAACTATTTGTTCACTGTTTTTTTAAAATACTCTGATCCATTAAAAATCCAAGATACATATTGCGATGATATAAATTAGAAACATGACCCAATTTTTGAAAGGATATCCAATAAATAATACAGGAGTCAATGATAGACAGTCCGAAGTTAGCTACAGCGGCTGTAACACCATGGAAAGACTGAAAAGGCAGTAGAAAGAGAATTGGTTTTATATGACAAATACAATAAATAGGATTTTTAAACATGGATCAGCATAGGAACAAGGAATAATAATCCTACCAGATACAAAATAAAACTCAATAATTAATTATACAGTACATAGTTTACACTGAACAACATGGAGAAATAACGATCAGGCCAGGAATTGCCATGTGGCCCACAAAAATTCATTCAGCAGAGTTCAACTATACAAACTAACAATATGGTAGTCCAACATTTGATAGCCCAGGGAATTACAAAAAGGAATACTTCTTTTAAATTCCTCTGAGTAGGAATTATTATCCACTTCATTAATGAAAATTTAAAAGCAACTTAGAACAGGCACAAAAATGTTCTTTAATAAATACAAAATAGAAAGGACCAAAAACAAGGTTAAAATGATTAAAAACATTCCATTAAAAAAGAACCAGTAGTTGAGAAAAGCCAATAAAAAAAGATCTATTTCTGAAACTCAACAGAAACTTATTGCTGCGAGAGGACATTATTCCATAAAACAGGTGCCACCATCCAGAATGTCAACCATTTATATTCATCAAATTTTATGTTATACAAAACTTGTTTGCAGCAAGTGAAACCTACCAGTTTCATGCATATGAGAAATACAAAAGTCTGAAACAAGTGATTACTAACCCCGGTGACTCTGAGGACCCCTTCCATGCCAGAAAATAACAAATAAAGGGCTCCAGCTGCAATTACTTTATGAAGAGTAACTCCCAGGCGAGGTCTGCAATTGGGAATAAAAGAAGTTTAAAAGAAAGTGAAAGCGCAGACTTGTTTCTCAAATAACATTTCATTTACTTATCTATCATTCCTCATCAAGGAAATGTGAGCCTGCTATAATATTATTTGTAATTCTCTTGTTATTTTTCTAACTGCTGATGTTTAGCGAGACATCTCAAATTCAACAAATGTGGTCAACTTATCTCAAGCAGGCATACAACCTGCTAATTTCTGCATCATATATTCTTCTCCTCAGAAGAGGTACTAAAGAACAAACAAAGATGGACCGAGGGACAATGTTGTTCTCACTCAAAGTGTGCGACGTGCAAAATCCATCAACATACCACTATTTCTTACCCTGCTGAACCTCCACCCAGATCTTGTCATCCAGGGATGGTTCAGCAGTTTCCAGAAGTAAATTACTTTCACTCGTTTCTAGAAACTTCTGAATTTCTTTCTACATTTGCCCCCAGATCATTATGGCACAGAAAAAAAATTCAGGATTGTCCAGAGGGAAAGAGAGTATTTCAGAGTTTTCAAAAATGTTTTGATCCTAAATTTTCCCTACCAAAAGAAACAGCAGAAAAAAATAACATAATTTCTTCCTGGAGAAGAGGCCTAATGATCCTCTCAGATCACTCTTTCAGGTATTCTCTCTCTCTTTGCAAGATGTGATGCCCATGTGCAAGTATCTCCTTGAAAAGCTAGTAGCAAGGTTGACGTTTTGTGGTTTAATCATTGCAAATAAAGCAGCGGTCGCCAACTGGCGGCCACAGTGAGAAAATCTTGGTGGGCCACAGTGGCCAGAACAACCTCCAAGGCAATTAATCCAGGCTGCGCAGAAACAAGGCTGAGCCGCCCACATGGCCCAAGGGAACCCTCCCCACCCACTCACTCCTTACCGGCGAACTTGCCTGCTAAATTACTATTTTTCCTTTTTCCGATCATCATCTATTCTGTTGTGCCAGGAGATTTAGATTAGTTAGGAAACAGGAAATGGTTGGATTTCTTGCTTTCTAGCTAGTCTTTAGATCTTCGGCTCAGCACAGCTGAACATCCCTTAGGACTGAAGGTTTGCTTGCAAGCAAATTCAGTGCAGACTCACGGCAAGCAAATTTGAGACTGAGCTAGCCGATGGCAGATAGATAGATCACTGAATGATTCTGTGAGCAACTCAATCTGCCTGCTTTGCCTGATTTTGGGTAAAAGTTGCTCTTTTTTTAATAAAAAAAATCCAATATTTACATACATGGTGTGCTGTGAGTTAATTTTATGAGTTTGCTTGCAAGCAAATTTTATTTGACAGACTGAGCTTGCGGATGGCAAATAGATCGATCTCTGAATGAATCTGTGATTCTGTGAACAACTCAATCTGCCTGCCTGCTTTGCCTGATTTTGAGTAAAAGTTGCTCTTTTTTATAAAAAAATCAATATTTATATAAATATTTATAATATTTACATATAAGCCATGCCCAGCCAGTCACATGACCACCAAGCCACACCCACAAATTAGGCCACGCCCACAGAAGTAGTTCCCTGGGATTTAAAATTATGAGTTTGATGGTCCCTGAGGTCCAAAAGGTTGGCGACCCCTGAAATAAAGCATATGGAAAAGCTTTTGAGGGATTCCAAGCATGTCACAAAAAATTGGGGCACAAGGATTACTCACTTCACTATGCCATATCCCAGACTCACTATGATAACAAGAATTCGAGCAAGGGAACGTTTCAATGCCGAAAGTAGCTCAGCCAGGATCAGTGCCTCTCGGACTGCAAGTAAACACAGACAGGACACTTCCTGAACATACTGATTAGCATTTAACTGTACTGCAACAAATATTAATTTAAGAAAGGCTGAATATTAAAGAAAAATAAATGGGAAAATACATGTCTTTTGAATAACATTAGAACAATACAGAAAATATAGACCTATACTTAAATTCTTTAAAAATGAAATACATTTAACAGAATTAATCATTCTCATTTTGAATTAATTTTTAGAATATTTATCTCAGTCAGTTATTATTTCCTGCACTGAGAGAGTGAGCTGATGAAAAATTAACTTCAGAAATATTTTTGTTTGTTTTAATGCATGCTCTAACAATTTTCCATTTTACAGATATGACCTAGAAAGGATGACAGAAAGTATTTTCTATCACTAGATAGAAAAAGTTAATATAAATAGAAAATAATTCATATACTGGCATACTTTAAAAAATGTTCTTCACACCTACCGGATTTTCCTGTATAGCGAATATTCTGGAATTCTGCATAAAATACAGCTTTCTCCAACATTCCAAGTAAGATAACTGTACCAATCCAAAACTGTATCCTTAGGAGATCCCGCCAGTAGCAGGCTGACCATGCAAACCACAGAATGCCAAACAACACATATACAATACACATCACCATGAAGAACTATTAAGAGGAAGAAAAATGAGATGCAGTTTAAAGGATTATTGCAAACTGCACTTTTCTAGCTGCTTATTTATATAGATAGATTCCTCCTAGATTTCTTTAAATCTGATACTAATATAATTTTTAATGTTTTAAATTAATTATCAGTTAAATTTAATAACAGTAAAATTCATTTATAGGTTTTATAGATCACAAAATTCAGCAGAGTTAGAGCTGCCAGTCTTATTAATATATATATATATTTTCCAGATGTGGTAAAAATGTGTTTAGCTCTTTGTGAGCTTAATATTCAAATTTGCTTATACTTGAACCCAACTAAACATACTTTACAGCAAATAACTGCATTAACTTACAGTCATAAGAGGATAATCTGCTAGAGAAAGGTATTCATATGGTCCAATCACTTCCACAGTCACTGTCAGAAAACAACCACGGAAAAGAACAAGAAATTAAGACTATAGAATTATAGCTCTGCTTCATGGTAGCCCTTTTGTACCTTTTAAATACAGCATCTAGTTTCTCAAAGCAGCAAGTAAATGTCAATGGGAAACACACAAGGGAGCAGAGCTCTTCCAATGGCAGCAACTTCAAACACATGCTGCCTCTGACACTAGTGGCATTATATGTCTAATGTATACTAGTCACCAAGAGCCTTATCTCAGGTAATATTTTAAAACCATCTGAATAGGTGATTATCATCATCATATGTTGTGGTTCCACGTTCACACAGGCTAAATAATGTATTTTCATTACTAAATACATACATTTTGGAATCTGGAATTTTTCTCTATTCACCTGAATTAGATCTTCCCAAGATGGAGGACGGGGGGGCGGGGTATTTACAAACTGTGCAAGTGACTGCGAAGATTACTTCCCTGTGACTTTTCCCAATGCTGAAGTACAGGTAAGAAAAATTCATCATATTCACTTTTTTCTCACCATGCTTAACAGAATAAAATTTACCACCTCACCTTTTTTACTGAACTAAAAGCCCCACAAATAGTTTTGCTTGTTTGTTTGAAAGTTATTCCAAGCACATAGTAATTTTGATTTCCCTTTTGTGCCCTTTTACTTGCTATGGTTTTTTTTTTTTTTTGCTGCCTTTTAAAAGTCTGTTAAAAATCACTGAAGTCATTATGAAAATTTCTCTTATTATTGCCAGTCTATGGTGCAATAGACTGCCAAGGTTTTTCTAGACACTCCATTATAAACATCACATTTTTAAAAACCTGGGTACATTCTTTATCTCACTATTGAGTTAGGATGTTTTCTCTTGGTCAGAGATAAAAGGGAGTCTTACATGGAGAAAACAAGGGAAAAGCAATTTGCAGGTATTGCTACATATAAATGCCTATAGTCTGGCTTGAAATAAACAAAAACTCTTGCTTATTTCCCCTTCTATATCTAACCAAGCAAAAGTATCCCTATAACTCCAAGACATACCTTTAAACATTAGCATGTAACATCTAAGTGTTTAGGCAAAATTCTAAAATAAATGAACTACACAGCGCTCACTGATTAATGGTGCTTTGGGTTGATCCGAAGGAGCCATAACATTTGGCAATTCTTCATGTGTTCCTTTAGTATTCACTCCATCCTTTGAAGGTAAACTATCAACCTTTAGAATAAAGATATATGGCCCATCTTGCCATGTTTGCATTACAGCATTCATTGCCTGAAACAAACACACTATTGTAAGTCATTACACAATGCAAGATTTCAAAGAATACACATTTCTCCTATGTCAACAAGATTACTTCAGGAAATCAGATGTAACCTGAACCACAAAACAATATAAGTTGTGTTGTTCTATTACGTGTTCTTTATTGTCAACATTAAACATTTACATCTATTGATTTTAATTGGGAAGCATGAAGTACAGAAGTTACAGGATGCATCTCCTGTAGTCAATGAATCGTGCAAACAGCAGTTACTTAACCAAACACAAATATAACAGTGCCCACTACATTCCACATACATGCTTTTCACATACTTACAAAATTCTCTACTACAGTAGTGTTTGTTCCATTCTCTTTCCCATCCTATTTAAGGAAAAAAATAGATTTGATCAAAAGCCCAAAAATATATTTGTAAATCAAAATTTTGCAAGCATTAATATTTTTAAAAAATACCTCTTTACTGCCTAAGAGGACTGGATGAACAAATTCACTGTAGAAATTCTAATAAAAGATAAACAATGCTTTTAGTTACATTGTATATACATGCATATAGCAAATAGGTATTATACTAATGAGATTACAACAAAAAAGGGCTACAAAGAACTGAATTCAAGAAATAAATGTTTTTATGTTCATGTGTGTATTCTAAAATCTGATGACACAACAATTCTACCATGCAGGCATTTACAACCAATCAGGGAATGTCACCAGAGAGAGAGAAGTTCCTGAGGATGGGCTCCAGCACAAGTCCAGAAGCTCAGAACCTTGGTTGGTCTTGTCCCAGTGACTGACACAGATTTATCCATGAATAGATGAATTGCTGCGGTCATGTTTTGCCCACTTCTCCTAATCCTTTTCTGTTATAGAATATATCATGTGTACAGCCAAATGTGTACTGTAAAACAAGGATGACCAGGAACACCCTTCCCAATTTCAACTTTTGTATATGGCAGGCATTTAAATATTCTTTAAAAATTAAAGAAGCCTCCACCCAGTCTCTGCACAGACCTACAGTACCTATTTCTCCAATCAGGGTCAACTAGTGACAATGGAAAATTTTTATTTATTTATTTTTTTAAAAAAAATTTATTCTAGAAAAAAACATTTATTTGACATACATTTAAAACAGACAAATCAATATATATATATATATATATTTATTTGTTTTCTGAGGTTCTCGCGGGTATTTGTATGTGGATCTTTGGTTGTTCGGGTTTTCTCCCGCGTAAGATTCGTA